TTAATAACTCCTGTCAGGAAAGTATAGTGGAGTATAAAGCACAGAATTTATCTGGGAAGTGCAGCGGGGCAGCGCTTTCAGGTAACCTAACACTGTCATATCACTGTCAGCTATAACTCCCCTGCAGTAAGCAGAGGGGGTGTATAAACCATCCCTGGATTCATCCTCTCAGCATTTTGTTGCTTTTATCGCTATCGTCATACGCAAGGTAAGGGAGTGGCCCTGTGAAGATGGAGCAGGTCCAGTGTGTCAGGATGTGCAGGACATGTGGTGTGTCAGTGGGCAGTGTGGCCTTGACGGGCAGCAGCAGTCAAAGCCTCTGCTTGGCTCTGCTCCATATTGAATATGAGCAGCAGGGCCGGTCACACTGAGGCAAGAATCCATCATGAACAACTTCCACGCTCGGCTGAATCTACTGTTTTAAAACTCTCCCCTCCCTTTTTTGTTTGTGCCATTTTCCCATCCTCCATCACACTCTCTCCCTCTGTCTCTCTGTCTCTCTCTCTCTCCTGTTCTTCCTCTTGTGTGCTGTTGCCTTGCAACTCAGTGTGAGATGCACAGTTGATTTGGGAGTAATTAGCAGTGTCGGCTCCCCAGTGGCAAGTGTGTGTTGGTGAAAATAAAGAAGGGAGGGGAACAGAGAGAGGGAGGGGAACAGAGAGAGCGAGGGGAACAGAGAGAGCGAGGGGAGCAGCGTGATGTGGGGAATGACTGGAAAAGAAGGAGGATGATGGGAAAGGCAAGGGAGGACGATGAGGAGGAGTAGATAAGCACAGGGATAGAAATACAGCTTAAGCAGGGACTTTAAGAGTTAATGCTGAATAACAGTAAAACTCTTAAAATATTATATTCTGTTGCCTCTGGGTTTTTCCCAGCGTCGGTCTCGAGGGAGGATTTTATTGCCTTTTGAAGTTTTAATAAATGAACTGTGTTTTGAAGGGCTCCCTAGAATACTATAATGTTTGCTCTGACAGCGACAGAGCTTTTATGTTCTCAAAGGACATTTATCCTGCACTGAGTCAAGATTTTTACTTGGCACTGAAAATCCAAAATGCTTAATTACTCTGATATCACAGTGTTGAAGAAATGTTAATGAATTTGTCTGACATTTTGGGAAACATGCTCATATGCTTTCAAGTAAGATGTGGGAAGACAGAAGTGGGACGTGTTCTGCTCTAACGCTGTTGGCTGAACCAGAGCGTCTCTTGGGATATAAAGGAAGACTACCTCGTTAATTCAAGCTTTATGCTGAGCTAATCCAATCAGCTGCTTCATGTATCCTTCCATTTACCATCTAACTCTTACATCTACATCTAACTGCAAGAAAGCCAAAAAAGCATATGTCCTAAAATGTGAAACTATTCTTTTAAATCTGTGCATTTTTGCACAAAACATCAATCACACCGTATCAAACAAACCACCAGGTGGTACTGGAGGAGGACGAATGCAATTATCTGTCTGCTGGTGGATGACTCGCCATCCATCACATTATGTTAGCGCACAGGAAGCCTGGACCCAACAGCGAAGAGGAGGTGGGAGGAAAAAAGGGGCAAGACAGGAGACCCCCACGAGTCCCTGATAGACGTTTGATGAATCTGATTATGTATGGATTTCCCAGCACTCCACAGCGCTGAAGCTTAAAAGGCGACTAGAGAGTTAAAAGGCTGCCAGACCGCAATTCTACAGTAGACCCTCGCTTATGAGATTGCTGACTACAACACTGCAGTTGGTGATCAATACACTGTGTAGACTCAAAAAGGAAAATAAGAAAGTAAACTAAGGCACTTTTGCTATGGAAAATGAAAAAGCTTTTATTAGAGTGGCTAATGCACCTACACTGGCCTTCTCACCGCAAGTGAAGAATGAACAAATTATATATAGGGCTGGGGGATTTCAGGAATTGACATCATAGCTCATTATCACAGTAGTCGGAGCAGGTCATTCAAATGAGAAAAAAACAACTGCAATAAGACTGTGGAGAAAAAATACAGTAGAATATGTACAGATATATACATATTCAAACAAATCATGTTATAGGGAAGGAGAATAATCATCATTTTCTTTATAATTATAATTCCAAACTGAGATAAAAACCCTGAGGCCTGAAAACCTGTATAAAAAAAGAAGGATGGATCAAGATGTTGAATTTTCCTCTTGATGTCGATTAAATAGCCGATCCTTTCTGCAAATCAGCAGATCTGATTGATTAGTCATGCATCAATCAAGTTGCATTTCCCCCTCGTACTCATATCTGGTCAGGAAACAGACTATAGGAAGAGTGTTTAGGGATAACTGTCTTTGTCCCATCATGTTGTCATTCGATTTGACAGTGCAGCAACTCTAATGCCTTGTTATTGATAGGCATCAATGCTACGACACGTTACTGGTCTGTCGGTAAATAGACTTAATGCAGTCACAGTGTCATTCAGTGCATACCCCAAATATGTGGTGTGTTCTAATTCCCTTTTTATTCCAGTGGTGCGGGGACATGTGACATTGAGAGCCGTGCTCAGGGCGGCCCCCAACGTTCAGTCACCCTGGTGACAATTATTGTGTTGTGGTAGAAAAAGAAATGACAGGAAGTTGAACGGTGCTAAAACCAACTGAGCTGATTCAATCATAATCCTTACATGCAAGGTTTTTCTTTTTTTTTGCTTTCAGCGGTGCAAAAGGAAGGCGGCACTGAATGTAGTTGTTCCACCGATCTATTTTTGGTGCGGTGCCATCCACATTGATGTTCCCCTGTCTGGTTCAGTCTGTGGCAGGCAGGCAGGCTATCCCAGTCTTGTGCTCTATTCAGCCAGAAGGAGAATGCTCGGTGATGCATGTCGCATTACCCGACGCCTCCCGCTGAGACAGAGCCACACTAAGGATTTTTATATCGATCGAGGTAATTGTCAGGGTCAAGCAAGCTCCAGTGCATCCGTCATTTTTATTTTTTTTATTTTTGACAAGTTGGATTTAACAGGCAGTAATTGCAGGTTGATGGTGGTGGTGGTGATGGTGGTTTACTTGTGCTCCACCAGTCCGTAATGTGTAAGGACCGCTGTAAAGATGACAGTTTAATGACACAAAAGCCCAGTGTAAGCAGGGCGTTACCCACAGAGAGAAACAAAGGAGAAGATGCTTTCCTATTACATTAGCAGTTTCACATGTGACTCGTGCACAAGCAGGATTAACAACAGACGTTCAGAATCAGATTCAGCTTTATGGGCCAAGTACATGTACCCAAACAAGGTATTTGGCTCCAGTTTTCCATTGCCCTCAGTGTACTGCAGAACTAGGATAATATGAAGTGTATTGGAAAAACTGATGACCAGCACATACACCATGACAATATATATACAAGTCAACTGGTTCCATATGTTGCATGTAAACAATAGAAGTATAAATATAATATACTGTATAAATATGTGGACAGGGGCTGGATATGTACATTGTATGCTCTACATTTCTATATATATGTAATATTATTTACAGTGTGCAAGGTTTTTTATTAACAATATGCAGGATATGTTCAGGATTGACTCATTTCACAGACAAAACTGTGAAAACTGTTTCCTCATTTCTGGTCAACAGCATCAAACTGCTGCTTTTGAAAATAAAGCTCAGTAAAACTGGTTTCTACCAGACCAAACTGTAGTTTTATTCATTCTGGTATAAGACCAACAGAGCTCTTTACATCATGCAGCTAATAAAAGGCTCACACAAAGGGAATAAGCTTGAGGTCCAATTAAAGATATATTAAAAATCAGATCCTGTGATGACATTTTGTTCTCACAGCTTCTCTAGTACATTGAGGATTCAATCACAGACACTATGTTCCCTTCCTGAAAGAATAAGAGATCAAAATTCAATCAATGCAAAAGTGCAGTTCACTGTTATTATATATATGTTTTCTGTTAATCAGAATAGCAATGTCATTTCAGTCTAGAGTCAGCCACCACTGTAATCCCTCAGATATCTGCTACAATATAAGGTAGCATGTGATACCTTCCTTTTTTAATCAACTTAGAGTCAGTGGTTTGTTTGTGATATTTGAATTTTCATGTGACTGGTGTGAATTAAACTGATTAAATAATGAGATTCACATGAGAAGAGAAAACAAGATAATGTGAGATCCTGGCATTCAAAGAAAGTGATGCCTCTTTTGCCGTTTCAGTATCTGTCCTGATATTGAATTCATATGAAAGTTCAAAATTAAAGTCATATTAAGAATAGTTTTCCCTCCAGACAACTGTTTCTATAAAACAAATGGAGTGCAACACTGGAGCTGCTACAGGGTTGACTAGTCCCTGAGAAATAACTGAACCCAGAGTGATTATTTCTACTTTCACCATCACACACTATAGAAGAAACCAGACTATTAACAGTGAATGAAGGAGTTTTCCATATGAAGTGACAGCCCTTTGGGAGGAGGCAGCGGGGTTAATGGCTCTGTGCTCTATGATGAGAATCTGCTATATGAAATATGTATGGAGGAGTCGGCTCTGCAGTCAGCTAACTGCTGCAGCATCACGTCTCCAGGGAAGAGGCACGCTCGGCCTCCAGTCGTATATTCCTCTGAATTTAAAACTGATATCGCAACAGCTCAGTGAACCTCACAGGAAACATATTCTTGTGTTTCTAAATCTTCAGGTTGCAGTTCTTCTTTTTGTTGTTTCCAGGGGAACTTCCAGAATAATAAAACAAAACGTGTCTTTCGTCAGTTGCCTCGAGGGAATTAATTAGTTTATTTTAAAAGAAATTCAATGAGGGGTAAATGGTACTTGTCATCACAGTTCAACTTGAGAAGATAAGTTGAGGTGTAATAATTATTTTATTAATTAATTACTTCACTGTAAGACATGTATTATTATTTTTTAAAGAATTATTTTGATCTCCTTGTTCTTCTAGATCTGAAATACGAATATTTGCTGGTTTTCTTATACATATTTTTAGGCTTTGGCTTGTTTGTCAGACATATTTTACTATTTGTAACATTATATTGACCTAATATTAAAATAATAAAATGAATTAACCCATGTAATCTTAATAATTTGATCATTAATCATGATTACTGATTAAACTAGTGGAGCATTTAGCTGCCAACAGCCTGATGTTTCGAGCAGGAGGTGGTGGAGACCAAAATGAAAGTGAATATTGGACTTACATTTTTGTGGTAGCCGGAAATATGACTCAGCTGAATATAAATACTGCCTCATATCTGCTGGATGTGTAAATATGTGACACATTCACAGCAAGTGGCAAGAATGAATGTCAACGTTGTGTACAGAGCTGCCCCCATGTGCCCAAAAAGTCAACTATCGCTGCTTTAAGTTTAGTTGTTTCACAATTATCCCAGAAATATATAAACATTTATACTGAAGAATAATTATATGATGAAAAATAATCCTGTTGTTTGACTAAAGTACAATGAATCATGTTATTATGAAATAAAGCACTGTTAAGTTTGCAGATGATGTTTGAGAACTACGGATGATGGAGGAGGAATTTTATCCTTAAACAGCTTCTGATGCTGAGCAGTGGGATTCGGGAAATATGTCGTTCTTCCATCTCCAGAGATTTCATCCATCTTAGTGATGAAGAGCTCTGTTCTACAGAGACTATTAACATTTACACAGCCATATTGGATCTGTCTGATCGTCTGTGTTTGATGAAGTATTTGATGAATTAGTTGAGCCCTGCCCCTCATACGAACCACAGGAGACGAGATTTTTAATGGACAGCAGATCATCGTTCCTCAGGAGACTCAGTCTCTCCTGCAGAAGTCAATTTGATCCACTGCACCGTGATTTTAGAAAAAACCTGTGGTTTTGTTTCAGTCAGATTTTGAAAATGCTTCTGTTATTAATAATGATCATTTTTGATTATTTCCTTCCTATTTCTAATAAGACAGATGATATTTTAAATGTCTCTTTTTGTCAAAAACCAAAATATATTTTTATTTAAATATCCCACAGAATAAATCACAGAGCAAATCTTCATTCCCGAGAAGCTGGCAGTTGTGTAAGAAAAATAACAAACATTTACAAATGATGAAAAATGTTGCGGATTTGTTCTGATTAATCAGCTAATCCTCTCCTCAAGCACATTTAGTCTATTGTCTTTAACTTGTGAGAGGGAACATTGGTAGAAGACACAATCAAGATAACATGATAACATTAAAAATCAATTGATGTGACTATGTTTTTTTTGCATTATCATTAACAGCGATTTTCTCTTGTGTTGCAGGGCAGAGAATTCTTCACCACAAAAGTAATGTCCTGGAAACAGTGGTACTCATCAACCCGTCAGACGACGCAGTCAGTACTGAGGTAAAATGAGTTATACTTGTTACTGACAATCTGCCATATTGTTATATCCTCTTCCTTATTTATCTCTTACATCATATTTGATCTTGTATCCTGTCAAAGAGGGATGATGCAGAAATCAATACAAAAACAATCTCATCTATAAAACAAATACAACTTGACAAGGAGGATTATTATTCAGCCATCTACTCTGGTTATATCAACTGCTGTTTGTTGCTGTTAATTGGGAAAAAGGAGCAATTAAAAGCTCAAGGGACGACACTAATCTCTCATTTACATCTAGAATAACAAGCGCTGCTAACATTTTTAGTGGGAAAGAAGAAACAGGGGGGTGGGGAGTACAGATGGTGCAAGATTTTCACCCGTGTCACTGCTCCTTTTCAGCGCTGCCTCCACCTCCAGCCCAGTTTGCGGTCAAACTGTGCATTGATAATATCTCAGGGCACAGCAGGATGTACCTGGCCTGCTGCCCAGAACAGCTGATGGTGCAGGAGAGGGGGAAAAAAAGACCAACAGAAAAGAGAGGCAGAGAGAGATGGAGGGATGAAAGAGAACTTAGCAGAGTGGGCAGCAAGAAAAGCGATCAGCTAATTAGCTAATGGATTTGGATGATGTGAAACTGGAGATATTTCAAATACAATAGATTAGATGAGCTGATAGCTGCAGCAGTAAGGGTTTGAATTCCCCATCTCTGCAGAAAATAATGTTATCATCATATCTTTTTCCTTCTCTTTACAAAGCTTTTGCAATAAATAAATAATACACTTTATTTATTAAAGGGTCATAAATGCTTTCCTCATCACTTCTTTCAGTTTTTTTTACTTCTGCTTTCAGCGGGATCCTTGAAAAACGATGTAACCTACTTTCCTCTTTTTACTCCCAGGTTCGTCTGATGATCTCGGACACTGCCAGACACAAGCTGCTGGTTCTCTCAGGCCAATGCTCTGAAAAGACTGGAGAGCTGATTCTTCAATCTGGATCTTTCTCTTTCTTCAATTTCATAGACATATTCACCGACCAAGAGGTGAGCAAATATTAATTAAATAAAGGACAATATGATTTATAACTTTGGATGTTTAGGTGGTTAGGTGGCTGTTTATGTTAGTTGCCACCTGCCAATAACTAAGAAGAAGAAGAGGGAGGTCAAAAAAGAACTGTCACAGAATCAGAAAGTCTTTATTGCCATTGTTAGCACTACATATAATGTGCATTCAAAATCAAATACTTAAATTAATTAAAAAGACCACCTAACAAAATTAAACTATATAATATGAATATATATATATATATATATATACTGTGCATTGCACATGAAGATTTTTCAGTATTTATTTGAGTTCTTCATCATCATTATGTAATAGACTTACTGAATGTACTGACAAAGACTGCATTGGAGAGCATTATACTCTGATTCAATAATATTCAATATTTAAAAGTCACTTCATTTTTCTCATGTCTAGATTGGTGAATTGCTCAGCACCATTCACCCGGCAAACAAAGCTTTCCTTACACTCTTCTGCCCCGAGCAAGGCGACTGGAAAAACTCCAACTTGGACAAACACAACCTGCAGGATTTCATTAACATGAAACTAAACTCCACTCTCATACTCCCTGAAATGGAGGGCCTCTCAGAATTCACAGAGTATTTGTCTGAGTCAGTAGAGATCCCGTCTCCGTTCGACATGTTAGAACCGCCGACCTCAGGTGGATTCCTCAAACTCTCCAAACCGTGCTGTTACATTTTTCCCGGTGGTCGCGGTGACTCAGCTCTCTTTGCTGTAAATGGCTTCAACATGCTCATTAATGGCGGCTCGGACAGGAAGTCGTGCTTCTGGAAACTGGTGAGACATCTGGACCGGGTGGACTCCATCCTCCTCACCCACATCGGTGACGACAACCTGCCAGGCATCAACAGTATGCTGCAGAGGAAAATTATAGAGGCCGAGGAGGAGCAGTCGCAGGGTTCCACAGCTAACAGCGACTGGGTGAAGAACATGATTTCTCCAGATATCGGTGTTGTGTTTGTGAATCTCCCTGAAAACCTGGATAACCCTGCACCTAATTACAGAGTGCGGAGGAATGTTGAGGAGGCAGCGTCTACGCAACAGTTCCTCACCAAGCTAAATTTGAGGATAGAGCCTCTGCAAAGTCCTGTTGGAAACACAATAGAACCAATCATACTGTTTCAGAAAATGGGTGTCGGGAAACTTGAGATGTACGTTCTTAATCCTTCAAAGAATAGCAAAGAGATGCAGCACTTTATGAAGCAGTGGACAGGTAGTGAAAAAGACACAGCTTCTATTTTACTGCCAAACGGAAAAGAATCTCAGTTCCCTGTCTCTTATTTGACGTCTATCTCTTCGCTCATTGTGTGGCACCCTGCTAATCCCTCAGATAAGGTTGTCCGCGTTCTCTTTCCTGGAAATACCACCCAGCGTCACGTCTTTGAAGGTTTAGAGAAGCTAAAGCACTTGGAGTTCTTGAAGCAGCCAGTTGTCACTCAAAAAGCAATGTCTTCTAATATGCCTTCAACGCCGACACTAAAGCAAGCAAAGATGAAATACAGAACAGACAGCAAAGAGAGCCTGAAGTCTACCCCAAAGCCATCACCCAGCAGGAGCATCAGGAAGGATTCAAAGGAGGAAGCACCAGAGAAGGCAAAGACAGATGCAGAATCCACCCATGAAAAAACACAAAAGACAGAGAAAAAAGAAAAGGTCCCACTGAAAAAGGAAAAAGCAAAGGCACCTGAGAAAGAATCAAAAGCAAAGATGGAGCAATCAGCACAGAATGAAACTCCTGAAAAGAAGAAGCCTGAAATAAAACCCAAAGCTGAAAAGGAAAAGACCATTAAGAGGGAGACCAAAATCTCAGTGGAAAAGAAAAAGGAGGTTAAAAAAGAAGTGGCAAAGAAAGACGATATTCACAAACAAGAAATTAAAAAAGAAGAAAAAGTGAAGAAAGAGGACGTAAAGAAAGTTCTAAAAAAAGACATCCGAAAAGAGTCACCTATGAAGGAGAAGAAGGAAGAAAAGAAAGAGCAAAAGAAAGATGTCAAAAGGCCCTTAAAAGACATAAAAAAAACTGAAGAAAGGAATGCAGCACCAAAACCAAAGCCCCTGAAAAAAGATGATGTCTCAAATAAATTTGCAGGGACACCATCAAAGTCAAAAGAGAAAGGGAAGCCTAAGGTTTCAAAGAAAGAGACAAAGGTTGGTAGTGGCAAACTTGCAGCCAGTACTGCTACTGCTGCTGTTGCTGCTGCTGTTGCTGCTGTTGCTGCTGTTGTGGATGATCCTGAAGCAGAAAGATCTATGATGTCCTCACCAGAGGACCTTACCAAGGACTTTGAGGAGCTCCAAACTGAAGAGTTGACAACAGACGATGCGACGGTCCAACAAAACCAGAAAGAAGAGTCAGTGATGATCCACCAGGAAGAAATAATACAGACCAAAGAGTCACCTGAGGCCTTGGAATCTTTGGACGAGGGTATAACCACAACAGAAGCTGAGGGAGACAGTGGAGTGACCCCAGAGGAACAGGTTCTCAAGGTAAAACTTCCAAGTCCAAGTGAAAAGTTTGAAGATGAGGGCACTGTGATGGAGGAGACGTCTGAAGGAGGAGATTATGAAGAGAAGGGAGAGACAGAGGAAGTTTATGAACCACAGAGAATGGAATTGGATAAAGATAAACTAACTCCCAGTGAAGAGGAACACAGAGACAGACCCGATGAAGTCAAACCAGGGGATGGTGTTCAAGACAATGATGATCTGATGAATAAAAATGTAGAGGATCCACTCATGAGCGAAAGACAAACAGAGAAACAGAATCTGTTTGAATCAGCCTTACCCAAAGTGTCCTCACCTATTTCTCCAGCCGCATCTATCCATGATGAAATTCCTCCTGTTGGTTTCGAGAGCTCAACGGTCTCAGACGATGAGAATCGCGAAGAAGCCCCCGAGGATTTCACTGTCACCTCCATCTGCACTCAGTCCACCATCAAGATCTCCAGTGTGCCTACTACCCTGGGTGAGATGTTGACTCCTAGGGACATTATGAGCAACGAAACCGCCTATAATGAGGCTGAATCTCCTCCACGGGATAGTGACAGGTTTGTGACTTCTGTATCTGGACAGTATGATATGAAGAAGATTTCTCCACTTCAGGATATGCCAGGATCAGATCGCTCTCAGAGTGACATCACGGAAGGCCAGGACTACAACCTCTCTGCTTCCACCATATCTCCACCTTCACCACTAGAAGAGGATAAATTCTGCAAGGGCTTTACCTTAGCAGGGAAAGCTGAGCAGTATGACACAGTTCAAGAGTCGTTTGAGAAGCATGATGCAGATCTAACAGGACTCACTTCAACCTCCACAACCACACCTCTTATTCGTTCTCCCTCAGTCGACCGCAGGGATACATTTGATTCCCCATCACCTTTTGCTGCTCCAATAGAATTGTCCACCACACTGACAGGGAGTACCCGAGCAACAGCAGAATCTGTCAGCCCAGATGACAAGACACTGGAAGGAACTAACTCGCCTCAGTCCTCTGGTCACACTCCTTACTATCAGTCACCAGTAGATGAAAAAGCAGCAAGTCTAACACTTGTCTCAGAAGACAAAGCACAGGGTCCAATAATTGTGGAGCTCACAAGTGATAAAGAAGATTCCTCCAACAGAGCTACCCCAGAGCCAGATGAGCCAGAACAAGAAATGTGCTCTCCTGTAGAGAGGGTAGCATCTTCTCCAAAAAGCCAATCTCCAACTGAGCCCGATTCCCCAACAAAAAAGGAAAAGTCACCATTTGATTTAGATGATAAGACAACTGGAGAAAACAGCCATTCAGTCTTTTCCTCAGCACCGGAGACCAAATATGAGTCAGACACCAATCTATTTACTGGGGCCAAAGAAGAGAGCAAAATGTCGATTTCAGAGGGCACCACATCAGACAAATCAGGATCCCCTCTGGAAGAAGTGGTAGCAGAAGACTTGTTCTCACATTTAGCTTCAGCATCCACTGCCTCGCTGGCCACCAGCTCCTTGCCAGAGCCGACCACCGACTCTCCTTCGCTTCATGCTGAGGTAGGCTCTCCTCATTCTACAGAAGTGGATGACTCACTTTCTGTCTCCGTGGTTCAGACCCCAACCCCCTTCCATGAGGCTGAGGGGTCTCCGTCCAAGGAAGATAGCCCCAGGCCCATGTCAATCTCCCCAGACGTCTCACCAAAGTCAAAAAGCAAAACACAAAATCAGGATATGAAATCCCCAGAGCACTCTACCATGTCGATAGAGTTTGGCCAGGAATCCCCTGACCACTCCTTAGCCCTGGACTTTAGCAAGCAATCCCCAGAGCACCCATCTGTGGGCAGCAGCTCACGTGCTACAGAGAATGGCCCAACTGAGGTTGACTACAGCCCCTCAGATGGCACAGATGTGAGACCACCTGGAGAACCTGGCTCCCCAGTGGAGAAGCCTTTACTTTTTGAAGACGTTGACGTCCGTGCCACTTCTGCAACCCCATCAGATGCATCTCAGTCCACACCCTCTGTTACAACCCCATGTCAAATGGCTGAGATGCCACATACCATGGCTGAGCAGACGGACAAGTCTCCACTCACCCCCAAGGCATCCTCTCTCACCCAGTCTCCCCATTCCACTGAGCCATCCCCAGTACTAGGAGGTCCCCCGGTTATGGA